AGAACATACTCAGTTTTGGTAGTAATCTAGTACTAAATCTGCTATTTTCTAACCTTTTAGCAGGCTTTTTCTTTATCAGTTCACTTGGGTAATAAAGCTCTTTTTTTCCTCCTCTACTTCCTAGTCTCCAAATGAACGTGCTCGTTTATATTTCCTGCTTGCCTGGTTCCATGCCATTATCCAAGAGCGTTTGCGCTATGCTCCATTGGGTTGGTCCAAGAAGTATGAATTTGGAGAATCTGATCTGAGATCTGCCTGTGACACAGTAGATACGTGGTTGGATGACACAGCAAAGGCAAGTAGTCTTATACCCTAGGCATAGGTATTACTTAGATTACTTAACTACTTCAGTCATGTAGTCTGTTCTGGAAACCTTCAGCTACTTAGATGAGTAGGCTTAAATAATCTGCTGGCAATTTAACATAGTTGCTAAGTATGATTCCTCTATCAGAGGAGAGGTGAGGAGGATGGTTTTCTGTTAATTGCAGTGCATTTTTCTCACAGGGCCGCCAGAACATTTCACCTGATAAAATCCCCTGGTCTGCCTTAAAGACACTGATGGCACAATCTATCTATGGAGGCCGCATCGATAATGAATTTGATCAGCGTTTGTTAAACACTTTCTTGGAACGTCTGTTTACTACTCTGAGTTTTGACAGTGAATTTAAACTGGCTTGCAAAGTTGATGGGCACAAAGATATTCAGATGCCAGATGGGATCAGGTATCATTTTCCCTGTCCAGATTTCTGCATGCATTTCTTAAACTAAAACTTAACCCTCATCTGTATCTCTGTGCTGGTGATCAGCTGTGTAAACATTTGTCTTAGACAAATAATTACCTTGCCATTCTAATAAGGGAGGGCCTTCTAACCAAAATTCTTACTTGCAGACGTGAAGAATTTGTCCAGTGGGTTGAGATGCTGCCAGATACTCAAACACCATCGTGGTTAGGCCTGCCAAATAATGCAGAAAAAGTTCTTCTCACTACACAAGGTAAAAACAGAACTTTAGCAATGACTTAAGTAGATTAGAAGGCCAACAGTTTAACTGAAAAGCAGATGAGAAACTGAAGTCCTGATGAAGAACAGAACATTAGCTTTCCCCCCTTTCTCAGCACAGTTGGTTTAACTTGTGCAAGGTAAGTGCTTCAGCATTCCAGAAACTGCCAGGAAGCTTGTGTGAATTCAGAAGCTGATTACATGCAGCCTTCCAGATGTCAAGTTCCCATAGTTCTAGAAAGCTTTATTCTCAGCCCCAGAACCCCCTGCAGCTAGAAAATTCTGAATCTTAGGTCTAGAGCTGGGAGAGAGAGAAGCCCTGGTTCTTGCATGTAGTAGGATGTTTTTGTCTCAATGCCAATTCTCTTCTGACTAACAGAGTACCTTTTCTGTGTTATAGGCATAGATATGATCAGTAAAATGCTGAAAATGCAGATGCTGGAGGATGAAGATGATCTGGCTTATGCAGAAACTGAGAAGAAGACAAGAACTGATTCTACATCAGATGGTCGCCCAGCCTGGATGAGAACACTGCATACCACAGCTTCTAACTGGCTTCACCTTATCCCACAAACTCTAAATCATCTGAAGAGAACCGTGGAAAACATTAAAGTAAGAATTAAGTTTTGTCTAATGTGAACATAGGAGCTGCACAAGTTCTGATGTATTGGAGAAGGTGCATTGTGATTTCAAGCACCACCAATTAAGCTGTTCTGTGGGACAGCAGAATTTGTATTGGTGCTGATTCCAACTGCCTCAGCTATATCATGATCCACTGAGTTTCTTGAAATGCTCTTAGAAGTTGGATCCATGTTTTTAGGGAATTCTTTAAATCTGCTTCTGAAGCTTCTTTGAGATAAAGTAGCACACTGGCTGCTACTTACCATACTGCCTTTACAGCTAGTGCACGTAAATTAACATTGAAGTTCAGTCATAGTAAAGGAATATAAGGCAGCAGCTTCTGCTGAGCAATAGCACACATTCAGAGGGAAACTCTTGGGGTCTGGACAGTAGTTAACCTAAGCTTTAACTCTGGAGTAAGCTCCTCAGTTTAAGATGTCCATGACTGCCTAATTGGTTCTGAAGGCTTAACTGTAGGACAGCAGGTGAGAACCTTTTGTTACTAACCAAAAGCAATCAAGAAATGATTTGAAGGAGCTGCAGCACACAGTCTTCATTCGTTGCTCAACAGAAAGTCTTTTACTAGCAGTTTTCTAGCAAGGATATTAAACGTTGACCTGCAACTTACTTCAAATGTTCTGATGCTCAGGATCCTTTGTTCCGGTTCTTTGAGAGAGAGGTGAAAATGGGAGCTAAGCTGCTTCAGGATGTGCGTCAGGACCTTGCAGATGTGGTTCAAGTGTGTGAAGGGAAAAAGAAACAAACCAACTACCTACGTACACTCATAAATGAACTGGTGAAAGGTATGGTAATTAAAACTGATATCTCTCTGTGCTCTGTTTGCCTCTTGTACTCTGTAAGTTAGAGGCTGTTAAGCTCAGCAGCTTAAAAAAGAAACTGCAGGAAAATCAGGATTGGCTTTACCCTTTGGGACAGGCAATCCCTTTTGAGTCGAGCATAGAAATGCAATTAGTTTAATTTGAGATTTCAAGTTGGGGTCAGTAACTTTAGACTTTTTCAGATAGTTTACATTAGCAATTTCTAATGCTGCTGGATTGTTTCAGTCTCTAAATGGCAATGGAACAAAGTTTTATAGCACAAAGTGAGTAACATTGCTGTTAATCACATCTTCTAGCAGTTTATTGATTTTTCTAAGCTTCTCTTTCAAGCCTGTAGGTAAACTTACATTTCTAATAATACCTGAAGATCTGTTGTTGAAGTACCACTCCAATACTTTTGAACAAAAACATTAGGTAAAGCACAGTAACTTGACCAATTCTTTTTATGGAACTCAAATCTTAAGAAAACATAAAGATCAGTTATTAGAGTATATAGATGCATGTAACTGAAGTTCCTTTTGAATGGTTTCTGTACCTGGGTGGCATTTTAAGTACTAGACATAGAGGCTCTCTTAAATAAATGGTTTTACTTCCTAAGAAGCATTGTAATAGACATTTGTGTCCTGATCCAAGCCTTAAATGGCTATTGGAAGAGCAAGAAAAATGGGTAGTGTGAAAATAGTGCACAAGTCTTAATTTTAATCACATTTTCCATAGGTATCTTGCCTCGCAGCTGGTCTCATTACACAGTGCCAGCTGGAATGACTGTGATTCAGTGGGTGTCTGACTTCAGTGAGCGCATCAAACAGCTGCAGAATATTTCCCAGGCAGCTGCTTCTGGTGGAGCAAAAGAACTAAAGGTACTTCATGCTTGTATCAGCTAGAGATCGTATCTGGGGTTAGGTGCATAACTACTCTATGGAGTCATTGTATCAAGACTCCTTAGAGGTTCCTCAAGAAAAATACCTTCTATCAGTTTTTCCTATTTGTGTTTGTAAATGCTGCTAAGTATCTACTTACACCAAAATAATGAGGTCAGCAGGCTAACACGTAGATCAGAGGGAAAAATAGAATTTTTACAGTGATAGATAACATAGACTTAAAGGAAAAAACCGCAGTTACACAGTGTTCCAGTAGCAGGAAGATTTTAACATAGATTTAGATTGATGAAGTAATAATTGCTATTCTTTTTCCTCTTCCCTTCTCCATCAGAACATCCATGTGTGCCTCGGTGGCCTGTTTGTACCAGAGGCATACATTACTGCTACACGGCAGTATGTTGCGCAGGCAAACAGCTGGTCCCTTGAGGAGCTCTGCCTTGAGGTCAATGTTACAACCACACAGAACGCTGTGCTGGATGCATGCAGTTTCGGAGTCACAGGTAAAACTCGCTCTGGAAAGAGGGGTCTCTGTTCTACAATAAATACTTCCAGAAAGTGCTGGTTTTAAATGGGCATCCCATAAGAAAGTCATATCACTACAAGAATTACTGGACACTTTCTGAAGTTGTTAAATGCTTTCCTATTAATAACATATTTTATCATGGTAATAAACTCAGGTCAGTACACGTTTAAGCAGTATTCCATAGAGTATCTGTCATGACTTCTCTATCTGGGGCATGAAATACTTATTGCTCTCTTAATGGACAAAGCAGAGAACCAGCACGGCCCTAGTTTAAAATATATTCTTGCAGACCTTGATGGAGTAACTTCACAGCCCTTAAACAGTACAGAGGGAAACTTACTTTCCTTAGATGTAAGAAAGCTCTTAGAACTCTAAAGTGCATTTCAATTTACAGGACTGAAGCTTCAAGGAGCTACATGCAGCAACAATAAGCTGTCACTTTCAAATGCTATCTCAACTGTATTACCTATTACACAGCTTCGTTGGATCAAGCAGACAAACGCTGATAAAAAAGCAAATGTTGTAAGTATTGATGAAAATAATCTAACAAAAAAAATCTCTTGTAATTATGTCCTCCCGTAACTGTCCAACTAGAATTATTGTGCTAAAGCACTGTGGCTACCTTTTTTTCTGCAGCACAGATAGAGTTGTTTCTTTACTATTACTGTCAGTATCAGGGTAGGAAAGTTCTAGACTAACCACAGACAGACCCAACACTGGGCCTGGTCTTTCCTGTCTAGTTAGATAAGAAGCAGGAAGTGTCCAGGAGATATTAAACTTATTATATAAAGGAGGCTATCCTTTACAGGTAATTTGTTATATCTGTGTACTGGGTCTCATACGCTGAATACTGACTGAATTCCCATTGTATAAATACTACTAAGCAGTACAGGAACTTCTTCCCCTCTCCAGCTACCTTGCTACATACATAACTCTTCTGTATTCATGTTTCTCCCTAGGTGACATTACCCGTTTACCTGAACTTCACTCGTGCTGATCTGATTTTCACGGTTGATTTTGAAATAGCTACCAAGGAAGATCCACGTAGTTTCTACGAACGCGGTGTTGCAGTTCTCTGCACTGAGTGAAAAACTTACAGATTGGCAATACTGTAATAAGCATCACTCTTTTGTGTATTCCTCACCTAGATGTTGTAGTTGATGTGGTTAGGTTGTCAGGTGGTTTTGTGTGAAGTTGAATTGGAAGAAGGGGGGAGCAGTAATTTGAAAGCTGCTGGACTAGATTTGTTTGAAGGAATACCGAATGAGATTTTTAGATGGTTACTGACGAACAGATTTGCTGGTAATATTACAGGAAATAAAACTTATAGCAAGATTTCTGACTGCCTGGAATTATTATGGTGACTTTCATCTGAAAAATTGTATCTACAGTCTTTCCAGAGAATAACAATTAATAACCTGGTATTCAGGTATACTGCTGATCTTCATAGGGTTCCCTCAGCTAATTCTGTAACTAAAGCATAGAAACAAGACCACTGAAAGACAAGTCTCTGATGCACTAAGACACAAGGCCTGATGTCATCTGTTACGAAGCCTGATAACAAGTGAATTACTTTTAAATTGGCTCTGGTTTTACAGCGCTACTGGGATGCATTCAGAAGCTGTGCTGTCTTAATAAAAACATTCCTGTCAGGGAGGCTAGCAGAAAAAAAAAAAAAAGAGGCATTCCTCTTAAGCTGCTTTTATGGTGGCTGAAGGCTCCCATTTCATTTTTCTTTAGGTCAAGAAGTGATCAGAGATGCATGTGCAAAGTAGTTGTTTCGGGTAGTGGAATGGTAAAATACTACTAAGCTTCTAGCTTGCAAGGGGTTTTCCCTCTTTATTAGTATTTTTAAGAAAGTCTGTATGTTATTCTGTGCCAGTCATACAGAATGAATGCTTTCACAGCTAGTTGGTACCAACGTATTTCAGACAATTATACTTCTGTGGATATAGTCTATTTATGTGGAAAGGAAGATACAGAAAGGTTATCATCAAGGAGAGAGATCAGAGAACTGTTGCTGGCTGACCTCCTATCTGCATCCAGCACTTCTGCAGCAATATAAAGTCACGGTTCTTAGAAAGGAAGATTAGTTCCAGTTAATGGGTTCAGCTTTGCACTGTAAGTTCTAAACTGGCAGGCATAGTGAGAATATATACAATATATACCTAAAGTAATGTGCAAAGAGGTAGGGACAAGTACATTAACAGCACAAATCAACTTTGCTGTGATAAAAGGAAAAAAACTAGATTGCCTTCAGATACACACAATTCAGCTCAGTGCAATACAGTGTGTGTAGCCAAACCTGGAGGCTCGTTCACCATACAGCTACTTCCTTCCTGCCATACAGCAGATGGGAAAAACAAAGAGCAATAGCTATGTCAAATCAATTGCAATTCAGTCGTTCTTTCTTCCCTCCTCAACATACCCTTGTAATACTTGCAAAGCTGAACGGATGCTTCCAGACACAGCACACAGAAATCTGGTGCCCAGACACTGAAGTAGCACACAGGCATCAATCACAGCTGAGTCTGGAAAAAGCTCATCTAATTCTCATTTAAATTGCCACACAAGCTTGCTTAATTGGTTCCATCCTCTCAAGATGGATCTCAGTGCCTGCAGCACACAGTGCAGCTGTGTTTGTATCATCATCTGAAGCTTGTTCAGGTGCTGTCTGCAAAAGAAACCTAGCAGGTTGACTGCTAGAATGAAACACTTCATCCAACTACTTAATTCATACCTTAAATCAAATGGCACGGATTTTCTTTCTTCGTAGTTTTTCACCAGCGCTCTCTAAAATGGTGATCCCTTTTCTTTTAATAAGTGGTTGTCTGGAAGTGGTACCATCACAGTCATCTGCTTGCAGGGGTTGTGGAGAACTATCACCTGCACTTGCAAGGAGATGAGCGGGGGCTGAAGGATTAACACCCATCAGTAAGGAAGGGTCAGGCATCAGCCATGTGGAGGGAAGTGCTTCTGTGTCTCTCCTCAGCTTAGAGGATTGCAGCAGGCTTCTTGGGAAATCCTTCTGCTGGCTAGAAAGTTCAAGGGGAGATTTACCATCATTTACTCTCTGGCTGTGAACATCACTGATTTTAGTTTCTGAGCAGAGCCAAGCCAGAGGTTGAGGGAAGGACTCTCCATTCCCTGAAGCATCAGCATCCTCCAAAGCCATTGCTTTTGGACCACTGCTCATCCACGGTGCAATTTCTATACTGTTTAGAGAACTCAAGCTACAATCAGAGTGAGTGGATGTGTCTTCTGAATCACCATCATAAGGATCTGAGAACTGAAAACAAAGATCTCTCTGAACATGGAGGATGCTTATTTGTCTGAAAAAAAATACAGAGGTGTACAGCAGGGTTAAGAAACACTTGAGCATAGTGTGGAAATTCTGTTGATCCACACATTCCCACTCCATTTTAATTTTTGAGTGGTACACTGAGAACAAACCTGCTGTGTAACAGCTGAACCTACTTGCAGTCCCTTGGAGTCTCTTGCCTTCCTGAGTCCTTCAGCAAGTGGGTTATGCAAGACCTGTTTAAGGGAAATTGACATAGGTTTATAAGGCATCTTCTTATGAGTCACTGATCACTTAAAGTAATATTAAAGCAGATAAAAACCTAGAGGAAGCCAGATTGTCCCATCATCTCAAAAGACAATAAAAATGTGTGTCAGTATAACTTCTACAGGCCTGGTTAAAAAAAAAAAAAAAGCCTAAAGTAGAGGAACTGAGGAGAGCACTTCAGATGTGACTATGAAGAGAATGATGAGTAACTATATCCTACCACCAAAAAAAATAAATTACAAATAAACTAACAGTAGAAAAGCTGTCAATTGGAGGCTAGAGAGCTTACTTCCAAATTAGGTCACTTGCTCTCTGACATTAGAGGTGTACTATCACTACACTGATATCCTCAACAGAGCAAGAGCCTGAGCTACATGACTCAGCACAGGAGCTTCCATTATGGCCATGGCCAGCTCAGTGCTTTCAAGATGCTCATAAGATCTTCAATGCTCACTCTCAGCACTGCACCTGTAACTGACTCTTGTCAGATCTTACACACAGCATTTCCGTATGCGTAGTGGAAGCGCTCAGATGGACACTTATCTGTATGAAGTCACCTGAACAGTGAGATCAGAGCTCACAGCAGCAAGTTCCATTATACTCTGCTGTGCTTTGTAGCTCCTCTGACACATAGGAGGCTAACAGAACAAATTCACCAGAGCTCAGCTACACATCATGAACAGGAATGTATGAGGGGTGTGAAACTAAAAATCAAGGCAGCTCTCTACTCCAGAACGCATTTGGTTTCTTTTCTACTGATATTAACCACACTGGTTTGACAGCCAGTTCAGGAACCTATCAGTAGTCACAACCAACTGCCACAGCTCTGCTCTCTCCCATCTCATCTGAAATGAGTATTCGGCTGAGCTCCTGCAGCAACCCTGCCAAGCACCACCACCAGACACAGCCCTGATCTGCTGTAAGCACACCCTCACAGAGAACTGATGAAGCCATTTTGGTATAACCTGAAAACTGCTGCTTGTTCTCTCCCTGAAATTTCTGTACAGTTGGAATTCCAGCAACCACTCCTTTGACTCTAACTGTTAAAAGCAAAAGGGGGAGAAGAGCTCATCAGCATGGAAACACCTCAGAATCTGGTCCTCACCTCCACGCTGGATTCAGACTCTGACTCCGTGCTTGACTCCACCACACACTTCTGCTGCAGAGGAAGAAGAGAAAGAAGCACCACTTGTAGCTGAAATTCAGACAGCTTCAGGTTGAGGCTGAAGGCCATGTATGAGCCCAAAGTCCTGTGTTTAGTCAGTTTTCATCACAGGAAGCTGCTCGGCTTCTCGGATACCTCACATTTGTGGTACTGACTGGGTTGCGCAGGGCAAGACACCATGGAAAGCAGAAGACTCTCTCCCCTCCCCAAAGTTTGCTCTCTCTTTTTTTTTTTTTTTTTTTTTTGCTTCTTTGCAGGTGAATTAAATCATTCACCATTTGAATCAATTTATTCACAGATGTTCCTCATCAGCTGTTTTTCAGCACAGCTCCCTGCACCAAAGCATCCAGCACAATCTATTTTGTAATTTAATGGGGAGATAAGAAACAGCAATTAGAAGAAAGTTACCATGTATTTATGTGCCAGCTTTTCTATACAGTCCAAGCTTTTAACAGAATCCATCATTTTCAGAGCATCTAACAGAATGGGGGAGGGAAGGAAAACACATCATAGAATCATTAAGGTTGGAAAAGACCACTAAGACTATCTATCCCAACCCCAATCCATCCCACCATGCCCACTTACCACATCCCTCAGAGCCACGTCTCAATGGTTCTGGAACACCCACCCCCAGTGATGGTGACCCCCCACTACCCTGGACAGCTTTTGAAGAAGCTTACACTCCATAAGGGGATTTCAGTTGTTTTAAAAAAGGCACTACAAGTTTCCAGAATCACCAAAGAGGTGTTTGTACTCAAGACACAAGACCAGCAAACATAAAGCCATGCTCAGAGCCAGTCCTGCACCCAGCCCTCCCTATGGAGTCCTGCTCACCTCCGCCCAGGCCCTCTGCGCACCGCCCCCCTCGCCGCTGCCTCCTCGGCCGCTGCCTTCTCTCCAGCGAGGCCATCCTGCTGCAGCTCGATGTGCCTAGGCTGCCAGGCCCCAGCTCACACCTGCCTCTCTGTTCATCTCTATCTACGTGAAAACATCTTAAAAGGGATGTAACAAAGAGGAGAGTGAGGCCTCCTGCAAAAGTGCTCTGCACCACAGCTGAAGGCTGCAGACCCCTCCTCAAACCAAGCTCACTGGAGCAGAACACACACAGGCCTGCAGCAGAAGCCCATAGAAAATAGCACAGCAGCTCATATACCCTACTCACAACATTCCTAATTCTTCAAGCACATGCATCTACAGCTGAGCTGGCAAGGCCCAGCAGCCAGAAATGCTACATTCCATTTCCCCCTCTGCTCACACTCATTTATTTTTTTGCAGCCCCATGTCAGTCACACAGCCCCCAGGAAACAGCCCAGAGTGTGCAAAGGCCTTAATGAAACAAATGCCCACCACGAATTGTCAGTCCAAAAAGGCCCTGTGAGTCAGACCCTGGAGACAGCAGAGCAGCCCACAGCAGTCTCCCACTCTACTCCTGCCACCAGCTGAGCTGCACACACCTCCTTTCTCCCCCACCAGTTCCTTTTCCAGCTCCTTACCTCATCTGCCTAGGCCATCCAACAGTTAGGTCCTTTTATCAGGAAGAGGCTTGCAAAGATTCCTACACCACTGAAGCAGGCTCCGAGAGGTGCTTTGTCAGTGCTTGTAGTACCAGCTGACTTCAATGAGTGCATATAGCCATCACCTTTCATCCACACACACATGGCTCAGAGTCCCTTCTTCTACACAGGCCTGCCCCAAATCAGCTGCTGATGCTCTATGAGCAACAGCTGTTAGCAGTCAGTCCCCACCAGGTAGGACTCAGGAGAATTGTTACAGGTGAAACTGTGACAGTAAGACTCATGTCCTCCAGCCATAAAACATTTTAGAAATGCACAATGGGAATGCACTGTAGTTGAAAGTGCTTCTATTTCACTTGCAATTGGAGCAATCTACTCTACTAGTCCTTATGGACCACATCCACTGCTGGTACTTTGTGGTATACAAACTACAAGATTTTAAGATTCTTGGTTTTCTCTTGTCCTTCAGAGGCAGCGCGAGCTGGAGACCTGAACCAGGAGTTTGAGAAGAGAGGTTGTGCTCATGACTTTTCTTTGTCTTAATTCATTATCTTGGAGAAATGATTTCACAAAGGGAATGAATTAGCACTGCTTGACAGCACTGATACATCCCCACAGTAGATACAGCAAAGACATAAAGCCAGAAAGCCACGCTATTCCTCTCCACTGGGAGAAGGAATTTTTAAAGGCTGGCTGGGCTATTGCTGTTTTACTTCCAAGTTTGTTCACAAGTACCAGAGTGGAAGTATTTTGCCTGACTTGGAATATGGCTTTCTAGTAGCCCATAAATTTCTTCAGTAGGCAGATGCTGTTCCGAAGATGTAGTGCTCCAAGAGTGCCCGCATCCCCTTCGCTCTTTGATGTCAGAAGAGAGAGGATGGTATTTTGGCTGCCTCAGTTCTCCCTGTCACTTCCTCAGCTTCTTGTATTTAGGATGCTTGGAAGGCAAAAAAGACAATTAGAGGATGAATATGTAGATTCCTCTTATTAAAACCCTTTTTCATATAACCAACATGCTTTAAAAACAAAAACAAAACTGGAATTCTTTTTGCTTGAATACATGCCTGCCTGTGCTGGGAATGCATACTGCTTGTTTTAATTGTTTCTCCCAATTGATTTCACGCCTGAATATCAAGGGATATGTTGAAATTATTGGAAGAGAAAAAAAAGATCAATTTTCCACTTTTCTGCAGTTTCACCTTTTCTGTTCAACATTATAGTCATTGCACTGTTAGACTGAATGCTGGACGGCATCATATCTGAATGGGGCTTTGTAAATTGAGAGGACAAAGGAGTTCTTGCAATGTAGTTGTTTTTTGGTTTTTTTTTTCTGACTAGGTGACCAGTTTTAGCAAACTTTCCAAAATCTGTTTACCTCAGGAATATACATAGTCCTTCAACAAATTATAGGCATTACATTAAGCTTAATACATATGCTCTGCAGAGATAGAAAAGTTCCAGGTGAAATGTTTGTATTCAGGCTAGATTCACGGCCGCTGCTGTTACCAACAGCCTAAATATGAAGGGTTTTCATCTTAAAATTAGGGATTACTCATGTTGACAGAGGTCTGTGGGATCCTGCAGGTGACAGGACTTCAAGGTGACATCAGTGTTCAGGCAATAGCACAGGACAGATGCACCCTGCTCCTATCTCAACATATCAAAGTTCTGTGGATCTCAAAATCCACCTGTCCTGCATAGGCAAAAGTGGCATGAAGATATGAAGCAACAAGAGGCCACTGAAAACTGAGCAAGGAGAAAACTCAGTTCTCATGATGCCATTCCATGAATGCTGCAGTCTGTACCATCTGCTGCTCTGTATCTAATTTCAGATTGCAAGGATGCACCTGGTAACTACTGTTACAGTACATGCTGACAGTGCTAAGTGCCTAAATCAGTATCTGCAAAGAATGTCTTCACTGAACTAGCATGACCCTCCGTCAGGGATTTGCCTTGTGCAACAACTGTAACATTTGGTTTTGTTTCCCAGAGTTGTTCCATGACATTCTGGCCCTGGAATTGCTGAAACGTTGCTTGGTTGTGCCATCAAGAAGTATAACTTGCACTCTCCTCACAAGGAGAACAGAAGGTACTGTCTGTGCTCTACAGCAGACGTTTAGGAGGACTGGCCCCACTGTACTTGAAGCTGGTGGTCCCTTATAACTTCTTTGCTTAAGGAATGGAGCATGGTATCTTTGGACTGGTTCTTGGAAAACACGTCAGCTGAGAGCTGACAAAGGTCTGTGTATAGATTCATCCAACTTATAGGAGAAAAATTAAAAATGGGATGTTGTGATTTTGAAGCCTACATTCTACTATACAACCTCCAACACTGCCCAAAGGAAGCTAGGATAAATACCTTCAACAGTGCATTAAAGACCAGACAAAGTACTACAGAGGTTATTAATACAGCAATGCCTCGTTTAGGTGACATGAAGTTTTTCTTTTTTTTTTTTCACTGGTACATGGCAGAACTGGAAACATTTGCTATTTGTTCATGCGTGTTGCTGTCCCACTCTGGTAGCAAAGCAGCTGTAATAGATTTCTCCAGAAATGGCAAAGATTCAGATGGCTCGATATCCATGGGTGAGGAGCAGTCAGGCCTCTGGGGCCATACAGCCTCTGACCTAGCTCCAGATTTCTGAGACGGTTCATACAGTTCCACCAAGAATGTTGATAAAGCAGATTTCTCCTCAGCAATTGTTTCCATTGGTGTTCTAAAATCATCTTCTGGTGCCATATAGATATCGCTGTGGGACTCTCTAGCTGGCAGAACTGCCTTTCCAAGTGTAAGAAAAAACTGTTGATCTTCTGAAGGGACGGCATCTCCCAAAGCTACTGCCTGTGACACGTCCTGCTCTGCTACAAGTTTAACTCCTCTGCGACGCTTACCACTAGTGACATTCATACTGGAGTTTGAGTAGTGTGAGCTGTCTTCTGGGTAACTGCAGTAAACATCTAAGAACTGAAATAAAATGACTTTCAATAAGGTGTGTTCTACCATCTGGGCAGTATAATTGAAAATCAACCAGAAATAGGTAAGAAAAAAGTGAAATTCACTTGGATATTGTACTCTTATATTTTAAAGCACAGAATAAATAAAAGCTTGCCTCTGTTTTAATGACGGAATTGTTCAAATCAGAATTCTGTGCAGTGGGGCAAAAAAGACATACAGCATTTATTGCCCACCCTCTTCCTCACCATCCCATCAGAACCGCACCTTGGTATGAAAGAACGCATGCCTCCGTCTTATCTTCATGCTGCTGCTAAAGACACTGAATGCTGCTCTGATACACCTCCTCCTCCTTGGACCAGCCATACTGCAGTGGAGGTTTATTTGCCAGGCATTTTCTTGACCTTAATTTTTTTTAGAAATACAACGTTTATACAGCTGACCACCATAAAGATACATCTTGGCCTAAAATTTCTTTTCAGTGTAAGGTTTGCTTTGTTTTAAATGAAGAACTATTAAACATTATTTCATAATGAACTATCAGGAACATTTGATCATATTTGAAGTTCATGTCACCCTCTTCAGGGTGCTCTTACCCTAAAGAAATCTGGAATAGGGAAATCTGAAGTAAGTGAAGTTTGATTTACTCACAGGTAGAAGTTAGTCCAAAATGATGAACTTGCTGAAGCTTCTGTTGCAGAATTTGTATCATCTCCAACTACAAATTAAGAAGGTGAATGAACATCTCAGATCAGCTGTGAACTGATAAGTAAAATATTCTTCCTCTGTAAGATAAATCATTACTCATGAAAACTATATAAACAGTGTTTATATCTGTGGTCTATCAATTAGTGTATTTGAGATGCACTTCATAAATCCAGTTCTCTCTCTCAGTGAGGAAACAACACAGTTTACTCTTGTATCTTTTCTACTCCTGATCTTGTGATGCCTGGAACTCAACGGAGTTCATGTTTTTGTTAGTTTCTAAGACAATGAAAGCTACTTTTCTTCCATCACCAAACTCTGGGCTTTACTGCATGCAATGATGTGAGCCCTTCACAAGGGGAACAGGAACATCAGCTAAGGTTCAAAAATCCAGAATACACGTACCAGTTTACTTTGAGAGCAGAGGAGTCACATACGTCTGAATGCAGCATCCTAGTGCCTTAAGCTTGATAACAAAGTCTAGCATCAACAGAACATTCTGAACTTCAGCAGAACCTGAATGTCAGCAACATAATCTCTACACAAGGAGAGTATGGCCAAGCTGTGAAAAAGAATTCTACTGTAATCACTTATTCAGTGGTGGGCTCCACTGTACTGAAGCTTCAATAAGCAGAAGTACTTTTTATTTTGGCATCCGACCTTTTCAAAGAATCACAGAATGGCCTGAGTTGAAAAGCACAATGATCACCTAGTTTCAACCCCCCTGCCACAGGCAGGGTCGCCAACCACCAGACCAGGCTGCCCAGAGCCATATCCAGCCAGGGACTGCCATTGCTGAATTTTGTTGTGCACCTCTGCTTAGAATAAGTCAACTTGTAAACTCTAAGCAGTGTTTCTAACTTATTTCCAAGGGAGGTAAAAGCTTAAAGATTTGATGGGAAAAGCCCTCCTCCATTATGAATTTTACATTTTTATTTACTAACAAAAAGATTTTTTTTCTAAATGAAGATCTTGTAGAATAGATTCTAGTCATAAGACACAGCTATCTTAAAATTCAAGTATTTCTAAGCCCTTTGTACAACATTAAGATCGCATGCCAGTGAGATCTTGGACTGAAATCGATGTTTAACGCAGTTCTCAACATTCAATCACTAAGGAGAAGCACCTTCACCTTTTGATCAGTTTGTATTACCCATGGTTGAAAATGCTGATGGACACATTTAAGTGTGTGACTGAGGAGCCAAGACGGTGCCTGTTTTGATGTCATAGTCATTACTATAGCAACATATTCATTCCTACACATTCAACTACATTCTCTTTCCATGGAAGATCTCATCTTAGTCAAGCTGTTTAAGGTTGAAACTTAGATAGAAATAGTCACACTGACCAAGTCTTGTCTCATTTCCAGGCTGGGCAGAGAAGAACAGAAATGCACGGCATTTTATGCTTTTACATTTCTTATCTTTGCCTTGCCTCTCTTCCACTAACACAATAAGCACCTGTAGACTTCTGAGATACTTGGGACTTCAAGTATTTTGGACATTAAGCAGTGAGGAAATTACACGGGCATGGAATCCAAACATCTCACATGTTGCAGATACCCAACCATTACTGATTTCTCTAGCTGTTTTGCAACAGCTCTGCAAACTTTGGACAAACAGCACAACCAACCATGGGTAACTGGGAAACTTTTTTTTGAAGGTGTTTATATCATTAACTTAAGGAACAGATGACATTTCCTTTTCACAGCACAGATCATCACCAGCAAATGTGAGGAATGCCTCACCAAAGGCATTGGTGCAGTAAAGAGCATCGAGCATCCAGTAGTTCAGGTCTGCTACAGAACACCTCACCAGAAGCAACCCCTTGACAAGGCCTTGCTCCAACTACAGAAGTATCACAGCTCACAGGCTCTTGTCCTGATGGGGAATTTCAACCACCCAGTTATCTGCTGGGATAGCAGCACACTGGGTGGCAGACAATCCAGATTACTGGAATCTGCTGAGGGAAACTTCCTGGTCCAGGTATTAGATGGACCAACCTGAGGTGCTCACCAATGCAGAAGAAAGCATTAGAGAGGTTAAGATTGGAGGCAGCCCGGGCTGCAGTGACGACACCCTGATGAAGTTTTGTGATCTGGAGGAATGCAAACTGGCAAAAAGCAAAGGACACTGAATTTCACAAGAGCCAAGTTCCAGCTGCTCAAGGAATTGCTGGGTGAGATCCCCTGGCAAACTGCCCTTGAAAGCACAGAAGAGAACAGCTTTTTAAGAACGCCCTTCTGGAACGGCAAGAGCTCTCCCACCCACCAACAGAAGAAAACAAGCACAGTCAGTGAACAACCAGCCTGGCTGAACAAGGACTTGCAGCTTAAACTGTGTAAAAAGGCAGAAAAGTACAGGAAGTGGAAACAGGGTTGTGTAGCCTGGGAAGAAAAAAGGAACATTGCATGTGTCAATCCAAGAAACCCAAGGCACAGACAGAGCTGAACTTGACAAGGGATGTGAAAAATACTGAAGTAAATAGGCAGGAGGAGACAGACCAAGATGAGTACCAAACCTGTACAATTTATTAGACAGCCTAATGCTGCATGTGAAATTGACTGCCAGTACACCACAATGAACAAGGCTTGCAGTTTTAGGAGCCTGTTTCTGCCTTACAAGTACTGGTAATGACATCTATTCAACCTAATTTTAAGCACTGCTTAGAAGAGATTAAAATAGTATTAGCCTCTTTTACTGTTCCAACACGTGACATCAGTTTGTAGTGACACTACAGAACATGCAAGATGAACTCTGGATATCTAATACTTGAAATCCAAAACACCCATTCAGACCAGCAGCTTTTGTTCCCAGTATTAACAGACAAGTCAGTGACAATTCATTCTTAACACTTTTATTCTTACAGTTCTAGGTTTGAACTGTACATGCAGATTTGCATAAGTCACAATAGAGATTTACAGTGGATTCTATTCTATGGTAGAGTGCAATCCAGAATCCTTGAACAGTATAAAAAACAACTTTAAACATCAAGACCTTGTTAGGAGCAAAAGGGTTAAAGCTTCCCCAAGTGTCAGCTCTCATAGATACCTAGTTACTAGGTACTCTATGTTAGACATATTCAGAGTTGAAGAGCTGTATAACACTAAACAAACTTGAACACCCAGATGTCATACCGTCTTTGTTACTTTTCTGGCAATTAAGAATAAGTCAAAAACCCTGCCACCTGCAAACCAGCTAATACAGACAAAAATAACTACTCCTTACTTGCCTGTCTAGGGTTGTACAGAGTTAAAGAAAATACTCCCTCAATGGCATTTGTATCTCACATCAGCTGAAAAAGCAATGTAACAAAAATAAAGGTATAACATCTTTGAAAATAAATATAAAGAGGGAATGCAGACAAAAGTGTCAAAGATTTGTTTTTTTTTTTTTTGGCAGGTAACATTCATAATATACAAAATATAACTTATTCATATTAGCCAAGGAAACATTCATGAGTTCCTGTAAACTGTTTTAATCCACCTCCTCCATACGTGATGTGTCATCATCTCCTTCAAGAGGTGGCATCTCCTCAGTAACTGCAGGACTGGCCTCCTCTGCAGCAGTATCATCTTCATCAATGCCTGTGCAACAAACACGAAGACCATGAATGCTTATCCTGGAACTTTATTTACTTCCATAGCACTTTCTATGGCCTGAAGGTTTCTACACCACCCCCACTCCTCCATGTACTCAGAAGGCACTCACGTATTAACACACCCAGAGTTTACTGGAAACAAGAGATTTCCAACTTACCCAGGCCAAGTTTGATCATTCTGTAAATGCGGTTGGCATGTGTCTGGGGATCTTCTAAACTAAAGCCAGAGGACAGGAGAGCTGTCTCATACAGCAATATGACAAGATCCTTCACAGACTTGTCATTCTTATCAGCCTCTGCCTTCTGCCTCAGTGTTTCAATGATGGAATGATCAGGATTGATCTCCAGGTGCTTCTTTGCTGCCATGTATCCCATTGTGGAGTTGTCTCTCAACGCCTGTGCTTTCATAATCCTCTCCATATTGGCAGTCCAGCCGTATGTACTTGTTACAATACAGCATGGAGAAGTTACCAAGCGATTGGACACAACCACCTAGGAAAGCATACATAAAATTTTAAGTTTTTAGCTTAACATTTCAACATTCCTAATGAACCAGAATCCCACTGACTGGCCAAGGTGCAACTTACAAAACAGCGATTACCTTTTCTACTTTCTTCTCAAGGATATCTTTCATTATTTTGCAGAGGTTTTCAAACTTGGCTTTTTTCTCTTCCTGTTTCTTTTTCTCCTCTTCATCCTCTGGAAGCTCTAAGCCCTCTTTTGTTACAGAAACCAGGGTCTTGCCTTCAAATTCCTTCAGCTGCTGCACACAGTATTCATCAATAGGCTCAATCATGTAGATCACTTCCAGGCCATGCTTGCGAAGGCGCTCCACAAAAGCAGAGTTAGCCACCTGGTCTTTTGTCTCACCTGCAGGAAGCATGGATGTCAAGTTCTGTTTGAGCCTGAGCACTTTAACATACCAAACTGTATTCTGGAAGAGGCTATGCAATCCAATGATGCTCAGTAGCTCTTACTAGGGACAAAACAAGTTATGACAAACCACAGAAGTGGTCCTGCTAGCCTGGTGAGACTTAAGACTTTCCAGCAATGTTTTAATTTGAAGAGATGTTTGGCATTCCAACCCTTCTGGGCTCACAGGGGAAAAAAGAAACTAGCTGCATAAACTAACTGCTGCACTTTACACCCTTAGCTTTGTCAGAAAGCCAGCTTTAGGCGTATTCCTCCTTACCTTCAAGGAAGCAATGACAATGAACATCATATTTCAAAACTAAGGCAATACTTGAAGAGTAGCTGTAACACTGCAGACCAATGCTGCACACACATCAAGAGCAGCTAATGCTCCAACTAGCCCAAGTTAGATGAGAGGAAGTGCCCTAGCCCTAGGACACCTTGCAAAGTCTGGGAGTGCAGTTTGCACTGTCAGTAAACATTACTTCTCACCAGCCCTGCTGAGCTCATTAACATACTATGAGCTACTAACTACAGTCCCATTCTACATGGCAACTTCTACTTATTTTAAAAATACTATAGGAATCACCCAGTATGACAGAACACAGAAAAGTTCATGTTCTCCTAATACATGCCAGAATTTCTCCATCACAACCAACTGCATAACTGGAACACTGACAAGTAATCATGTGCAAAGCACTGCAGCAGTAAAAGAAAATGAGCATCTATCCCAACAACCTTACCTAACTGCTTTTCACAGGGCGTTTCTTGCCAACTTACCAGTAATGTAGTAGACATGTTTCTGGTTTTCCTTCATGCGAGTGCAGTAGTCCTTCAGAGAAACCATTTCATCACCAGATGCAGAAGTGTAATACCTGAGTAACTCTGAGAGTTTCTTGCGGTTCTGGGAGTCTTCATGAATACCAAGCTACAGAAGTAAGAGGAAGAACTACTAAAATGCTTACTTAAATACTAAGCTGTGGGGTGCTCAGAATGTGGTATTAAAGAAATCTGTACCATTTACAACCAAGATAAATGAATACTACAAACCTTGATATTCTTGGAGAACTGCTCGTAGAACTTTTTGTAGTTCTCCTTGTCTTCAGCCAACTCAGTGAAAAGTTCCAAACACTTCTTCACCAAGTTCTTCCGTATCACTTTAAGAATCTTGCTTTGTTGCAGCATTTCACGAGAAATATTCAGAGGTAAATCCTCAGAGTCTACAACACCTCTCATGAAGTCTGGAAGGAAAGCATCACAATTAGCTTTGTAGGTTTTAAAGAACTAAAATTTACTATCACTACTAAGAGGCTTTACTGCTCTGTATTTTAAAGAGACTTCTACTGAGTTTTCATACAAAACAAGCTGTGCTTTCTTCAACTGGCCCAGATACTTCGACTCCCAAAAACTCTGCCTTCCTCCATCCCCATTTTCCTCTTTTAAACATAAGCTTTGCTAGGCAGTTTCTCTAGTTATTCTTAGAAATATTTTTCTGTAGCACTCACTCAGGTACTCGGGGATCAGCTCCTCACAGTTGTCCATGATGAAAACTCTGCGCACATACAGCTTGATGTTGTTTTTCTTCTTCCTGTTTTCAAACAGATCAAAAGGCGCACGTCGTGGGACAAACAGGAGAGCTCTGAATTCCAGCTGACCTTCCACAGAGAAGTGCTATAAGAAAACAAAACCATTTTTCAGAAATGTGATTTGTCTCTTTCTTCAAAAAAAAAAAAAAGAAAAAACAGCATTTAATGCAGTAAGCAAGACACTGGTCAGAAAGATGAGCATGTTCTCCAAAACATCATCTGAATTCTATTCAGTTGTTGCCAGGATGTGTAACAACTGTGAACTGTGCAGCACCTTCAACCATGAAGGCCTGGAAAGATTAACTGCACCCATGCCCCCATTTTTAAAACTGAACTACAAACCAAAACAACAGCTAAGTTTCCATTTGAGATCCACTTTCAAGTTTTACAATTAGATTTTCCAACTAAGATAAATGCAAATGTTTTTCCTGTATATACATTAGCAATAAACAGAAACAAATGCGTTTGTTGAAGATGCTAAACACAAGCTTTACAAGTTGCCTAAGCACAAGCATGTAGCACAAGCATCTCACAATGTAAGCACTTGAACAAACAGTATCACTCCTAATAGTAAGCAACTTCTACAACAATACTCAAAACAATTTATGATACTGGTTTTAGTGGCAAAAAAAAAAAGATAGTGCCTATAGAAAGACAAACAAGAACATACTTTGACAGCCAAGTGGTCCTCCCAGTCATTAGTTAGGCTCTTATAGAACTCCCCATACTCTTCATTGGTGATGTCATCTGGGTTCCTGGTCCAAATAGGCTTGGTCTTGTTGAGCTCTTCCTCATCAATGTACTTCTCCTTGATCTTCTTTTTCTTCTTCTTATCTCCATCCTTCTTTTCCTCTTCCTCATCAGAACCAACATCCTCAATCTCTGGTTTATCTTCTGTCTTTTCTTCCTTCTCCTCTTTTTCCTCCTCCTTTTCTTCAGCTTCATCATCGCTCACCTCCTTATCGCGCTCCTTCTCCACCTATGAAAGAGAACATCACTTGGAACTTAATACACCACTTTTCTCATGTGCAGCCTTAAAACTGAGTAATGAGCTACAACCTAAGTAGGTAAGCAAACTGCAATTAAATCTACATACAAACAAGCACAATGCTCAGTTTTTGTCCTAGACTCAAGACACAACATTTCACTATTTAGCAGTGTTTCAAGTACAAGTGGTTCTCTGGCAGTTCATGCTGTTGTACTGCATTGTAACTTATTTCCACTAAGAATCTATGTAAGTGCGGTTAAGTTTTGAACTGTTTGGAAACGGTGATGCTACTTGGCTTGGCTCCATTTTGTTTTAGCTTCATCTTATAAAATTAATTCATTAATTAACAGCATCACATCAGTTGAAGAGCTACACCCATGCAGAATCTGCAACAGAGTATGCAGACTGCCTATTTCTAACTCCTGCACTTTATTATGTAGTATTTCGAAGTACGTACAAAGAGCCTAATAGGGTAGCCAATGAACTGAGAATGCTTCTTCACAATTTCCTTGATCCGCCGTTCTTCCAGATATTCAGTTTGGTCTTCTTTGAGGTGCAAGATAACTTTTGTTCCACGGCCCAAAGGCTCACCTGGAATGAAATGTACAGCTATTACTTACGCAGAAGTACGAACGCACAAATCAAGCTGT